ACACGCTTCGTAGCGTGTTAAAGTCGTGCGATATGGCACAGTAGCACGGAAAGAGTTGTTAGGCAACCGAAGAGGTTAAGCAAGAAAGCCTTTAGTTTTAGAAGTTGCTCCGCACATTGAAAGAATTGTAGCGAAAAAGAAGGCTTATGTAAAATGTTCTTCTTAGCACAAATGCTTTCACCGTACGCTGACTTCAAGCAAAAAGACAGCCTATGTAAAAAGTTCTTCCTAACCAAATGCTTTCACCGTACGCTGACTTCAAGCAGGACCCAGCGACAGTTTGACGATTCGATGGCCCGGTAAATATTATGTTTGAGTAACAATGTGTTAAAAAAGTATTGTTTAATAGAGGATTTTGTGTCAAATCAAAGTTTTTCGGAATTTTCAACGTAACACTGCGCAATTTCTGGCCATGAAGGCAAGTAAACAACGATCTAAGCATGATCAATTTTACCGCGTGGGATTTGCACACGTAAGAAATTCGTACGTTTTTCGCTTATAACAGCAAATCAAAAAACTGTTTTGAAAAAATCTGTCGTTCCGAAATATTTCTTGGCCAGTTTAGTCTTGCCTCCTTATTAATTGATTCCATGGAACTTGAGATCTCTTCGCTCACGGACAAATTTGCATATTTCTGTTTGAAATATGATCCACGGGCTCATTTGCACACATGCGAAAATATTTAGCGATTTTTATCTTTTATCTTGATTTTTGAGAGAAATCGAAATATGCACCTATCGCTTTTTTCGACGAAAATAAGTTCTTAAATTAGTCTTCTTTCACTGGAGCTTGTTTTTTGGAGAAAATGATTTTTAAAAATTTGCGCATTGTTTGCTTTCTTGCTTTCTCCAAAATTTTGACTTTTCGTAGGCACGTGATAGATCGCGTTACACGTAAGTGTCAATGGGTTAAACTCGATCTTGCTATAAATTTCTGTGTTTTGAGAAAAGAAAAATGGGTTTCGTGTGACAAATTGTGATTCATTGGAAGATAACAGGTGAAGTTTACAACATGAGTCAGTGATTCGATGACGAAAATAAGTTACCAATGCAGGTTTTGCTTTAGTGGAGATAGTATAATTTTTCACAAGTGCAATCTCTTACAGATGTTTTGATCTGACATGGGTATTAGTTAACACGCGTGACATTTCGCACACCAGAGTGCAATATGACACGGCATAACACGACTTTTGTTGTCGCACCCTTTAACACGCTTCTTTGTTTAACCTGAATACGGTTCATTGTTTATATGGAACAAAAGAAAATTTTAATCAGGAGTGCATTGTGACACGCTGCTACTGTGTTAACGAAAATTTCTTTTGTGTACCGTGCTAAAATAGTGTGCCCGTGTCATCACCATTATGCTGGAAATCCTGTGGAGGGTCACAATTTCTTTCACCTTCTTATTGTGGTAACGTTGTGAATTTGGTATGGAAGGAGATGTTCAGTTTTTACGGTAAATGGAATTTGTTGTAGTATATTTCGCGGTAAGCTATGTTTTTGATTATGTCAATGTGCTAGTTAAGGATGAGAGTAAATCTCTCTAGTAAAAGTTCACCCCGCACAGGAATTCCTGGAAATTTCTACTTCTTGTACTTTTAATTATTTCCAGACCCGTTTTTTTGGATGAAATTCTATGTCAAATTCACGATCCAGGAATATTTCTTGAAGTTTAATTTAACACCTTCAACACCCCTTTCTTTAAGGTGACACTGAGTGTAAACAGCTTATACCTTTTTATCTTCGCACTGAATTTTGAATTAGATAATGTGCTGTAAGACCACGTAGCATTTTTGGGGGTGGTACTTGTGAACGCCCCTTCTCCGAATCTTCTGTTTATTTTGTTGTTGTGTAAGTCTTCTAAGGCTATTTTCTCTTAATATCTCTTTTCAAGAATGATTCTAGTTCTTCCGATAGGTTAATTATGATTTTTATATTATCAATCTTGTTTCCGTTCTGGCCGATCTTAACCGTAAAAA